GAGCAAACAGCAATGGCTGCCAGTCAGTCCTGCACTGGAGAGGTCTGACCGCTGCTGTGTGCACCTCCATCTGGAAGAAAGCTGCCCCTGCGTTCCTGCCCTGATGCCAGACAGTTCAGTTTCTCCCCATATGTGTCTGAGTCCCCCAAAGTCTCGCCCGACACTGGAGCTCAGAGTACGCGGGAGCTTGTATCTCCCTCCCGATTAAAAAGTGGAACACCTGGGTGCCAGCCCCTTCTGCACCTCCATGCCTCTGCACCTCCTACCAGTCTCAATGCTCTTTCTTCTTTATTTTTCTAGTTGTAGTTCTTCCACTCAGCCAGGTTTCCCGCAGTTCTGGATGATAATTGTCATGTATTTTAGTTGTAATTTTGAAATGGTTGTGGAAGGCAGCAAGTACAGGTGTTTACCTATGCCGCCATCTTGGTTCTCCCAGAGAGTTTTTACTTTTATTATGATGTAGTGTAAGGAGGTGAATTTGAACATTTCAGGACTGATCAAGAAAAAAAACTATGGCCACGAAGTGGCACTATCACACAAGCTTTATTTGGGCAATACTTTGCCAGGTCTGCAGAAGGCCCTAATAGTGTGAGACCATCCAGAGGCTTAAGGCCATGAGAGCCACCATCCAGCAGGAGAGGGGGTAAGGGAACTCCTGGGGTATAGAAGCATGAGAGAGGGGGTTTTGTGTCTAGAGGGCTTTTGTATGTTGTCACGCTGTAGCATACAGCCTGGCAGAGAGATGCTAGGTCAGAAAATTCCAAAGGGTAGCAGCAACTTAGCATCTTTATAGCCCAAGGCTGATTTTGTGTGTGGCAAGCAGATTTTGGACACAGTTTCATGTTAAGCAAAGCAGGCAAGCTCTAAATGGCTAAAAACCTGCTTGTCTGGGCTATGTTTAAAACACCTGATGTGTAAAGTTTTGGTTTCATGCCAGGGCGCTTTTCAGCTAGTGGGTCTCAGCCTCCTGTAAATAAACAACACAGGGCCAATATACAGAAGCTATCTTTACCTAATATACACAAAAGGTAGTGGATTCTCTTTATCTTTTTTTCCCCAATCACATTGTTTATTATACTCATTTTTTAAGGTTTGTTTTTATGGGTATTATTGTGATAAAATTTCAGTTTATCATAGTCTGCTATCTTACTACTTATTTATTACTCAAACTGCTTTAATAGAAATTGTACTTCATTCTTTGCTCCCACTTAAGTAAAACTGCTCTTAGTAATGTAATCAATGGCCTTCATGTTATCAAATCCAATTAATGTTTTAAATTTTCTTATTGGTATTTGTTAGGGTCGCTGAAGGAGGAACACACAAGACCGAAAATGGTAAAGAATTATAAACTTACTAAAGGCCAGGTGCACAAAAATTCGTGCACTCAGTGGGGGGGTCCCTCAGCCCAGTCTGTACTCTCTCACAATCCGGGACCCCTCGGGTAGGGTCCCTAGACCTGGCTTGAGATTAGGGCCTATCGGAGCTTTCCTTCCCCTGGCTGCAGGCAGCTGGCCCCATCCCACCACTGCCACTGCTTGCCATCTGTGCAGCACTGCCCGCCAACTCCCCTGCAACCAGTCGCCTCCCTCTATAGGTGACAGGCATGGGGTATGATGGCTTGGCTGGCCTGGGGCTCCCTCTATGGGCTATTGCTGGCCGGCTGCACACCTGCCACAGCATCGCCAGCTCTTCCTTTCTTTTCCTTTTTTTTTTTTTTTTTTTTTTTTTTAGTAACAGTAATGTATACTGAGCGATACAGAGTTGAGTACTATGAAGGGTTTTCCAGGATGGAAATGCACCGCACCCTGCCCCTGCCACCCCTAATACCCAGAGGCTACAGTACTTAGAAGTTACATGCAATGGCCATAACTGCTGAATATCTGTTCATAACAACAAACCACAGCATATTTATACTGATCACATCGAGTGATTATAGCAATCAATTTACATATTGCTTGTATAAAATCTTTTTTTTTTTGTAAAATGTATTTTTTTTTTTTAAAGAAAGTATGAAAAACATGTGCAGTTGAAAGCCCTGCCAGGACAGCCAGTCTGTAAATATTTAGTGAGTATGTGCTTTGGAAGGGCACCTGTACCTTGTGCCCACAGAAACTCCAGCAGGGCCGATGAGTGTGTGCCCTGGCTGCCACTCTGGGCAGGACTGAGCTGGACCACAGTGGGTACAGCAGGGCCTGGCACTGTGCCCTTCTCCAGCCTTGCATTAGGGTCAGGGTCAGGGCTGGGGGCAGGCAGATTGCAGTTTCACTCTGAGTTCCATATTCAGCC